ATTGTGGCTTTGGACCATCCTATTTAAATTCGCGGCACGAAAAAGCAGCAACAGGAACAGGAACAGGAACAAAAGTGTCAGTAAGGGCTCTGGTGCAAGCAACAAACAATGCGATTTCGTCGTGTGTACCGGTACCTCTTGTCTTCAAGGGCTTGCATGATCTTTTCCGTTACCGTTTTCTCTTCCAATTCGTAGAAGTGATTTGCGTGCTTTTCAACGAAACGATTCCCAGCGGCTCTTTTGATCTCTTGTGCAATTTCATGCTTCCGGACATTGCCGTCTCTGCCTGAACAGCTCTTGTACTCTCGCGCTCTCTTCTTGATGAGATCTCTGAACGCAACATTTGCTGGTAGATTGTCGATGAATCTGCATCTGTCTCTTGCTAACACGACAAAGTTGCGGTCAAGGACGGAATTTAACGGTACCGTCGTGTCTCTAATGGTTTGCATGATCTTTGTCGTTGCCGTTTCCTCATCCAATTCGTAGTATTGATTTTTGTGCCTTTTGTGCCTTCCAAAGATACGATTCCCAACGGCTCTTTTGATCTCTTGTGCAATTTTACGCTTCTGGACATTGCTGTCTCTGCCTGAACAGCTCTTGTACTCTCGCGCTCTCTTCCTGACGAGAGATCTGAACGCAACATTTGCTGGTAGGTCGTCGATGTATCTGCCTCTTCCAAACACGACAAAGTTGCCGTCGACGATGGAATTCAAGGGGACGGGTTCTAGTTGTTGGTACTGCATGGTCGATGATACCTGCAAGATTTGTATGTTGATTTTGTTGAGTAGGGGAAGCTTCAGTGATTCAAATAAAGTTTTCTTTTTCTTATGACAAAGATCTTTGTCGCACAAAAAGGAAGGAAACGAGTTTATTTTTTTCAACTGGGATCGATGTTATGTTGAGACACAGATTCGATCAGTGCAGAGCCGATGACATTGATCGTATCAACTCCTGATTTAGGCTCACACGTACTGATTTTGATCGTACTGATTTTGATCGTACCATACCTTTCTGACGTTCGTAGAATACATACAATCCCTGCCGTCGCACGGTGCCATTCGAACCGTTGAAGAACGTT